AACTACTTGCCATATGAGAGCACCCTATGGTAAGGTTCCCAAAATACTATAGAATAATTAATTAAATAGTTATTATTATTATTATTATTGTTGTTGTTGTTGTTGTTATCTAGTAGTCATACATTGTGCGATAGATGTGATATGTGATGTGGACGAATGATCATAGATTGTGCGATATGTATGTACATGTGATATTATTATTATTATTATTATTGGGTCATGCAAGCCTTCAATTTCTTTCTCGTTTATTGTTGGGCCTATGATTAAATTGTAATTACGTGAGGAGATATAATGGGAGCATGAAAGTGATAGTGAGATCTATGAGGTAGAGACAAATGATCACGACGCATGGAGATGCACCAAGATGCCGACGAAATCAACGAGGACGAGATGGATGATCACAGGGCATGATGATACGCCGATGCACACATAGATTATGATATAAATGATTGGGCCCACTAGCTCGGGCCTGATCATATTAGGCTGTGGTCCATAATCATTTGGTGTGATTGCTCATGTGATGTATGATTACTTATACACCTACTAAATATGTATATATATATTTGCATGTGATGTAGATATATATTAAATATGTATGTGTGTCACATCATAATATGAGACTGAATAAAAAATCCATCTCGATAATATTAAGTCGATAAACGTGAGGTAATTAGATTGACAAACATGACTTTATATCGTTATAGGAAGAAATCGATTCCCGATGTAGGTTGAGTTGGTCGAGTCTCTCGAGGGCATATCATCAAATCAGACTCATCTTATAATGATGGTGATGATTTAACTGAACATCATAGTTAGTCGAGTCCCTCGAGAGTATGATGGTTCGGAGGCCAAACAGGACGAGAATCACAAGGAGTTGTGATCGATAAGAGTTGCCTATCTTTTGAGCTTAGCGTGATTGGTCGAGTCCCTCGAGGTTATGTTGAGACGCCGATTGGATCATGATCCCCACTAGAGATCCGTCGGAGATCTTTGATTCACATACCGGAGGGAATTGTGTGTTTCGCGAGAAAATAGTGAGAGTACATTAAGATAGAAGACCATATCTTAGTTGTTTACTTTTTTCAAAGTCTGCATATTATTTATTTCTACTACATGTTTATTTTCAAAAAATATCACTTTCAAATCCTTTATATGGCATACTTGATGTCAACTACCTCACTAGTCCAAATTACATGGATTGGCTATGCAACTTGAGAATCGTTCTCACAGCAGAGAAAATTATATACATCCTTGATACAGTGATTTATATGCCCAAGGAAGGGGCAAGCGAGGTTATCGCTCACTATGTAAAGTACATCGATAACTCCACTTTTGCCCAGTATTCAATATTGGGCTCTATGACTCCTGAGTTACAAAGACAACATGAAAAGATGGATGTCAAATCCATTCTCCTACATCTTTGTAAATTATTTGAGGAACAGAGAAGGATTCAGCTCTAGGGGAATCTTGGGGCAACATCACATGTGCAATGGAAGAATAGAAAATAAAATCCCCAATTTCCCAAAGACGTGTTCGTTATTATGCGAAGATTGATGCACAAAAAGGGAAAAATTGAAAACTACGTATATGAAGATTGTGTTACCTAGGGAGATCGTATATCCCTCAATCCTTGTAGATATGTAGGAGAGGGTGAAGGAGGTCAAGCACTCTCCTCTCTAGTGGTGATCTACATAGTAAGACTGCGATGATTCTCCTCAAATCTCCAGGCCATTTGAGGAGGAGAAGGGGAGAGGAGAATAGGAGGTGGCAACCAAGAGAGGCTCTAGCCTATAAACCTTTGATTCCCTCCTATTTATAGAGGTCCCCTATCAACTTAACCCTAATGGATCTTACTCTATTGGGTATTGGATCTCCATCCAACTACCCAACCCTCTTAGATTAGTGGATCTTTATCCAATAATCTCTCATTGGATCTTATTGGATCTCATCCATAGGATCCAATAATTCAGGAGCTTATTGGATATCCAATAAGATAGGGGCTCCGACGGATATCTCATATCTGAACTTCTACTCATCGTAATGCCTACCATATGTGTATGACCCTCTAGGCCTAATATCAAGTTGGTCGTGAGTCATACCTCTACTCCTTCTGGCTCAGTGAATTATTATCTCTATAATAATTCACTCGACTCATCGATTGCGGACATACTAGGCCACTATGCCGTAGTCCCCAAATGATACAAGGGAATCCAATCCATTGAACTTGTCTGTCTTCAATTACCATGTATCTATAATCCATCATTCATCTAATATCTCAGAGACCATATACGGGGCATGGTGCTGTCAGACCCATACGGTTTCTACTCGAGTCTCACTCTAATCAGATTCTCCCGAAGAACTCTTTCTCTCTCAATCCGAATAGCCTTAGCCAATGATTTATCTGAGCAAGAATATATGAGATGTTTCTCTCATGACACTAAGAGCGGATGATCCTCTATCGACATTCAATAGCCCTCGTAAGGTTGACTACTACTCTCGATGACCGGTTGTGCTAGATCTGGGACATCCAAACCTATAAGTTTGGTATTAAAGAGTGAAGTACTCATATAGGACATCCTTGGTATCTCAAGTCTAAGGATCAGATATACCACTGGAACTATAGAATTGTTGTTTGACAATAAGGCATCATCAACCATTCAACATTCCGTAAGCGGATCAATCAGTGAACTCATTCCCCAATGAGCACCTGTATTGTATCCTTAGTGTCCTCACATGAGCAGCTATGAGATCAGTTATATCCATCGTATGGACGGGTATACAACACACTAGTTTGTTCGGTTATCTCGATGTCCCTCTCGAGTAACCTATAATCGGGATTATTTAGGATTTGTGTTTAAAGGTGAATCGGTCTCATTATCGTGATCTCATCAAGATATTGTATCCCTCGTGTATCCCTAGTATCTCCACATGAGCAGCTATGAGACTAGTTGCATCCATTATATGGACGGGTATATAACACACCAGTTTGTTCGATTATCTCGATGTCCCTCTCAAGTAACCTATGATAGGGATTATTTAGGATCTGTGTTTAAAGGTGAATCGGTCTCATTATCGTGATCTCATCATGATTCGATTCCCATTGTATAGAACCAAGGACATCACAATATATACATGCATATATGCAATAATCAATATAAAGTAATAAAATATCAAAATATAATAAGCAAAAAAACTACGTATCAAGTCACATGTGCCATCACTCACGTGATTGGCTTGCAGGGCACATATGACTAGCAGTCCCTGCCATATGAATTACCGCTAGAGAGAAGGACAGTTAACCCCCTTCATCCTCTCTCATAGATTTGCAGGTTTTTAGGGATATACGATTTCCCTAGGTAACACATTTTTCTTATATGCGTAGTTTTCGGTTTCGCGGGATTTTGTGCACTAGCTTTTGCATGACGATGAAACATTCTTTTCTACAAGAAATTCTAGGAAATTTATTTTTTTGTTCTTCCGCTGTGCATATGATGTCACCTCAGATTTCCAAACATCAGGCGGTGGCACTACCAGACCAAGCGGTAGAACCACCTATGAGTTGGAACGTATGAAGTGTATGTTTTCCGGAAGACCCGACGATAGGACCGTCAGTGTCAGATGGTGGAACTACCAATACACGGTCTCCTATATGTCAAGCGATAGTACCACCCAAACTGGGAGATAGTATCACTGGTTGTCAGTCTAGCAGACGATAGTACCGTCCAATACTAGCGGTAGTACTGCTAGTACCTTAGAAACCCGAGATGAGACCTTTTTTTCTTCATTTTTAAGTCATTTGGGGCCTATAAATACCCCACTCTTTCCTGCTTGAGGAAGCACAAAAAGATAACAAAAAGCCTAGTGATTCTATGTTGTAAAGTATTGAAAAGTGCTAAGTATCCCTCTTCTCCTATTTAAGTTTTGGGCTTATTCTAAGAGAAGTGTGAGACTTGTAAAGATTGTTTCCTAAACCTGTGAAAAGGAGAAAGTGTTGTAAGATAATAGTTAGTCTTCGTCCATTGAAAGAAGATCATTAGTGAACGTCGATAACCTCAACGAAAGAAGAATCGAGAGTGAACGTAGGTCATGATAATCGAACCACTATAAACTCGATTTACAATTTCTATTCTATATTTTATTATCATTACTTGTTGATTTAATTGTCTACTGCTATTACTTGCTCACTATGATTACGAACGTTTTTAAGTTAAACGTATTTTCGATATAGTTTCATCGAACGAAATTTTCTAAATCGTCGAAGTTTTACGAAAACACGAATTTGTTTTCCCTATTCGTGCCGAAACGAACCTTTAGGACTTGTCTAATATAAAGAGATTAAAAGTATACAAATTAATCGCATCTGATATGAAGAGATTACAAAAGCCCTATTATAAAGAGATTAAAAGGGTAAAAGGTGTTCATGTTAAAAGAGGACTAAGAAATGCTTGTGATCACTGTACTGTGTTGTTTGACAGTTCATGACAGTGATCACAAGCATCAACACAAATCAAAAGCTAAGACTCATGACAAGTTGTTGATTAGATCAACTTCAACTGAAGCTACACAATTGAGCCTACAGCCACGATCACAAAAAGGTAAGGCATCATCATCACCTTTTCTTTAAACTCATCCACAGCTATCAATCCTTTTCATTAGGCCTGTCACTCCCTTTCTCCTCGTATATATATATGGTTGGAGTAGGTAACCACTGTCTTTCTATCTAATTTTTTTCTCATCAATACATGTCTAATATGCCATGAATTCTAATCTCTTTCATGCTCACTGATCATTAAGTAAGAAGATAAAAACTGTAGACTTTAATGCCTCAAAACCCTGCAATTAGCTATAAATCTTAAATGACATATTTTTCATGCAATCTTCAAAGGATCATCACAACTTTCTCTTAAGAAAAAAGAGGTCTGCAAAAGCCCACTAATTTGCAAATCAAAGGACAATGGCAACACACATTGTCACTGTTAAGTTGAATCAAGATTCGGGACTTCAACAGGCACAAAGTCACCAGATGATACATGAAATAATATCAACTCACTAGGAAACTGAAGTATAAAGTTCTACTATGAACCATCTTCCACAATAAACATACTATGTTGCCAAAGTCACAAAAATCTTCTCAAGAATAAGCTGAAAGTAATAAATTTGAGCTGGTTTTCTAACTAAAAAGAACTGTAGAACTATAGTTATTAGGGTTTGTCCAGATGCTGAAAACCAGTTTTATGTTGAGGAAAATAGGCCTTGAAAAAGTAAGAATTGTCTACTTCTAAGAGAATGTTAAAATATGAAACATATCAATCATCTAATCCAATAAATTATGAGACTGCTGTCTTGCCTTTAGGAAGAAATATTCACTTTACCTGCTGAAATAGTCAATGGTCACAGTCGGTCCTTAAAATATATTGATCACAACAGGACTATGGCCATCCTGGAAGATATTTCACAGACAAAGAGGACTGCAAATATCGGCATGTAATTGTTCTTGAAATTGATTGTAAGTTTCTTGACACATACTTGATGTGGACCTTTAACATATCCATATAAACTGAGAACCTCTGATCTGACCTATGACCCTCTGATGTTGAATGAAGATGAAAAAAGGTAACCAGAAGAACAAAGTTGAAGAATTAGTATCACAAAAACAGAGTACATGATTCAGAAAGTTTAACCTAACATCGGTGGACCAAGAAACTCATTAGCAAGAAATGCTGGGGATAACATTATTGTAAAAACATAGAGAAACAATGATCCTCTGAGCAGGCTACTAAGTTTAATGAAAGTATCCTTTTACATATCATGCACAGGAGTCAATTAGCAGATCATACCAAAGGAAGAAGCATGTGTGCAACTGTAAACAGATATAGACTCTAAAGAGGATACGTTCCTTCTCACATTCCCATAGTAGCTTAGGGGCAAGTCATTATTGAGATTAGATATAATATTTTCATAACTTCTGCTTAAACAAAGACCATATTCATTCCAATACATTTTTCCTAACATCAAGTACAAATATACTAGTTTACGGAGACTTCCTAGTTCCTACTTTTGCCTACCTGCATAAAAAATACCATGTCAAGCTTCAACAATCAGATATTGCCAGTTAATATCTATTAATTATTTTTCATCTTACATAATCACAATTGGTTTCCCGATGTATTATCAGTGAATATTGTTCAGCAAAACTTAATTGTAAGGACCGTAGGTTCTGAATATGTTGTCTCAAATAAGCATTTGCATAAAAAAAGTAAATAGTTTGGGCTTCCATGAGCAACCTATACCTATTTTTCCCCATTCATTTTTAAGCAAGTACTCAAGTTCTTAAAAGATATTAAACAAATTTATCTATTAATTAATGCCTAGTGACTCTTTCAATACAGTGAAAATATCTCTATAACTTAAGAAGTTAGATAGTATTATTACATGATATCATGCAGAAACTCCCCAATGATTCAGTCTCTTAACTTTTTCTGAACGATCCGAAAAACAGCAAATGCTTGACTTTAATAAGTAAACATAAATATAATTCTTATATCTAGCAAACAGCAACTTCTTGTACCGAAAAGTATATCACAGGGTGCAATAAGCCAGAAAAGCATGTATCATCATCATATGTTTTGGTATCATTCTCTTCAATTTTACATGTAGAAATTTCTCAAAAAATGTGGCTTATGTAGGAGAAGATTTATGCCCACAGGCATTTTACTGGTAACTATGATGGAAAAGGAAAACGTAGGAAAAGTTGAATAGAAGAGCTGATATGAATTCGTTAATAAACATCGAGCCAATCAACACAGTTAAGTATAAAAAAGGACTATCTACAAACACAGTTTTCCACTTGCACTGTGCTAATGGTATTACCACCAAGAGATGAGATTGAATCATACCAAAGGCTCCATCTTTCAGACTCACTCACTTCTCAGTCCGACCAGCAACACCAGAACAAAGAACAAGTGCAACATCTCAAAAGGAACCTGCATTCCCAGAAGGATCAAAGAAACACAAACCAATCATCTGTCAGAATAGCACAGAATGACAAGCATGGATGAGGCAATTGATTCAAAATTTGAATAGTTGAAGCTTACAAAGAAAGAGAACAGACAAAAGACAAAGAGGATTTAGAGGCATCAGCAAAGGTGAAGTAGCAGTCAGAAGAGGACAACGTTGTAATTACCTTAAGGATTCGTTGTCTTGCAGCAAAGCAGTAAAGCAGTCCCCCTCCTCCACAGAAGCTTTCGTTCAACGAGCTCGCAAGAAGATGAAAGGAGATGGAGATTAGTGTCAGGCGTGACTTGCGCATCTCCTACGGATGCCGCCGGCTACTGAGAAGCCGAATTTGCTCGTGGTTCTTCTTGATGAAATCGTCGAACCGCCGGTTCATGTCCTCGTGACTCGCGGAAGAGGGAGCCGCCACGGGTGGCGGCGTCAGCTCCGGCCGAGACGACTTCTCCATAATCGCCATCCACGTGGAATTCATCGAGTCGTTCTCTAACTCCGCCGAGGCCGCCGCCTCGTCCTCCTCTTCCGCCATCGCAATGCTGGTCTCGGTCTCTGGTTGGACGCTCTTTTGGCTCGCAAACGCCGACGAAGGCGTGGACCTCTCGCAGGAATCCGTCGTGAGGGACGACGCGTCGGACGGCGAGTGCTCAACGGGATCCACCGCTAGAACCTCTCCGGTCGTCGGAGACGGCGAGATCTCGTCGCGCCAGATCTCTGGCGACGGTTTCCGGGGTTGGCCAGCCGCAGGCGGAGGCTCGAAAGATTCTATCTTTGTAGGATTCTCAGACTCCGCGGTCCCCGCCTCCGCGGCCCAGTGTTCGAAGTGGTGCCGGTGCTGCTGCTGCCGATCGGAGAGCTTCCAGATAACGAGGATAATGAAATGGACAGCGACGAAGAGGTACTGCGGTGCGAGCCAGGAGCGGAGGGAGGCCCAGAAGCCGGGGAGGGCAGAGGCCAGGGCTCCCATGGCCGCCCTGACGGCGGCGCCACAGGAGACGACGCCGAGGAAGCAAAAAACAATTTTGGCGGCCCAGATCGCGGTCTCATAACCGCTGTTCTGCGAACTCCATTTCGGATTCGCCATCTCCACAAACAATCTCGCGAAGCAGAACGAAAGCCTCGAACCGAAGAAAGGCCCCAAAAGCGAGAACAATACGTCAAATCTAAGAGCAGGAGGGCGCCATCGGCATACGAGTTTCGAAGGGAGACGCCATCATTGGCAATTCTCAAGCTGTCTGCAGTGTTTGAGAGAGAAAAGGTGGTTCGAATTTGACGTCGGAAGTGAAGTGTTGCCTATTTATTACCAACAGAGAGCGAAGGAGCGGAGAGTGAGTCTTTACCGGAAATCTATTTTTTTTTTTAAGGCAATCAATCGATATATATATATATATATATATATATATTATCTGCTCATGGTAATTTCTATGATAATATATCCATCGTGAAAGTGGTGATAGTTTGATTGAAAAAGATTTTAATAATTTATTGTAAGGTGTTGCATTCAAATTATATGTATAATTTAATATTACCTGCTCATAGTAATTCCTACGGTAATCCATCATGAAAGTGATGCTTAGTTTCGTTAGGAAAGTTTTTCTTAAGGTCATATAGTTGAATCTCATCTTCGTAAGGTCACTCGTCATTAAAAAAATCAATACATCCATCATTATTATGATATATTATTAAAAAATATATTATTTATTTACAAATAATAACTGATGAATTATAAAAATATTTAAAAACATGTAATTGGCAAAATAATTTAACATTAAGAAAAAAAAAGATATGATTATCACTCCATAAACAGAGAACTTCAATCTCATGTCTACTATGCTCTAATTAATTAAGCTACCAAAGATGTCCATTTATTAAATTGCAACTTAAAATGATATGAGAAAATAATATATGAACATTCAATAGGATGTATATAGTCAATCTTAAGCTTGATGGCTGGAGCAACTCTCTATGTCAAGATAATAATTCACTAGATAAAATTATTGGCTAAATGTAAGTGGCTACGAGTTTCACCTATAAAGAAATCTTTTTATGGCTAATAGCTCTATAAATTATACTTTGAGCACGGGAGAAACTTTGTGGAATACCGATTTGTTGATCGAATCCCTTTACTCAAGTGGGGTCTCGAATCAAATTGGCTCTCCGAGACAATTTGATCGAATCCACAACCAGAATTGATGTTAACATAAAGCAATTGCATTTGGCTCAACCAATCCTAATGATACATATCTATCCTATAAATATAATGGATATGCACTCCGTTTTGTGTTCGATTCATACATGCAATCTAACAAAATCTAGTCTTCCGACATGCTTCCAAGTAAAATGCAAGCTTAAAGCCTCTCTCCTCCACCATCCATCAAGCAAAGTTGGAGGCAGAAACAAGACACTCACACGCACATTAACTAACAATCATCACCGCTTGCTTTGCCTTTGTTCCTTTCTTAGCAGCGCAGCAAGAGACAGTGCAAAGACTCGTCGTCACGTGAAGACGACCAATCCTGCCCTCACCACTCTCATCTTTCCCTTTGCACCAAAGCGGGCACTTCGATGGGGCCAGTCAGCATGCAGGCATCCCGCCATCAGTACTGCTCGATGTGGGGGAGGAGACGACCCATTTTTTATGGCCGCTGCCGGTGGTTCTTTTCCTCCCCATCTTCCTTCCTTCTTCTCTTCCTTCTTTAGATCGGAGAAGCGTGGCTTCGCCACCCCACTCTCCTTTTAACATCGGTCAGCCGACGACTTATCTGCTGTTATATCAGGTTGAGGATGGATTTAGATGACATGCTCAGACCATGGATTCTAATGTCGGCAAGTAAATGATTCCCAATGGAGTAGATGATCAGCACCATGATCGAACTGTTATACTAAAATAATACAAAGAGAGCTTAGAAATTAGATTCCAAAGACGTGACAAACATTAACATAAGTGTACTCCCTCAGCCCCTAGTGCTAACGGGAAATCGTCCAAAACACAACCGGGGTTGATCCTCCTGCGTACATAGAGAACAGTCCACGCAATGATCACAAGAGCTAAGTCGTGTGAGGAAAAAGTCAACAAATGAGAAGAGAGAGAGAGAGAGAGAGAGAGAGAGAGAGAGGATAATATAAGAATTTTAGTATTTTCTTTTAAATACTTAACGCAGACCTATCACGTCATGGAT